ACAAAGGACAATTTCAGCCTCGCTTTGGCTGCCAGAAAACCAGAGCGCCTCTTAGTTGCTGCTAAATAAAAGCTGTCAAATACACATAGGAATCATAAGGAATCATTAGTGTGGATGAGGAAGAAGGGACCCATGCGGTCATCCAGTCCAACCCCCTACTCCACCGTTAAATTCAAATGAGGTCTAGCCAACTCTAGCCAATCAATGTAAACCTTTGTGAAGTTTGCAAGGCTCCTGCTGCCCACATTTTTTCTCTGCCCTTCCTGGTAGAAACCATCATGACCAAAAACCCATATATGACTGACACAGAACCTGGTATTTGAACCCAAATTATTTGTTGAAAACATCCTGTTCTTTGACGTATTTTGCCTCCAGAATTCTGCCTCCTTTTCTCGCCCTTTGACTATCAGCACAGCAATAAATTTGCAGGTCCTCTACCTTCCTATCCATCCCTTCCCTCTTCTTTGATTCAGCGCAGACCTCTCTCAGACATTTGCTTTACATCCATCCCAGGAAGAAAGAAAGAAAGAAAGAAAGAAAGAAAGAAAAAGAAAGAAAGGAAGGAGGGAAGGAAGGAGGAGAAAGAAAGAAAAAAGCAAAGAAGACAATTAAAGAAGAAAGGAAAAAGAAAAAAGAGAAAGGAGAAAGAAAGGAAAAGAAAGAAATGGTGGAAGGAAGGAGGGAGGAAGGGAGAGGGAAAGGTAGGAGGAAGGGAGAAAGTAAAAAAGAAAGAAAGAACAAAGAAAGAAAGAAAGAAAGAGGGATGGAGGGAGGAGAAAGGAAGGAAAATAAATGGTGAGGGAGGGAGGAAGAGGGAAGGGTGGGAGGGAGGGAGGAAAAAAGAAAGAAGAAAGAAAGAAAAAGGAAAGAAAGAATTAAAGAAGAAAAACAAAAGAAGAAAAAAGAGGGAGGAGAAAGAAAGAAATGGGGAAGGGAGGGAGGAAGGAAGGAAGGGGGAAGGGTGGGAGGAGGGAGGAAAAAAGAAAGAAGAAAAAAGAAAGAAAAAAGAAAGAATTAAAGAAGAAAAACGAAAGAAGAAAGAAAAAAGAGGAAGGAGAAAGAAAGAAATGGGGAAGGGAGGGAGGAAGGAAGAGAGAAGGGTGGGAGGGAGGAAGTAAAAAAGGGAGAAAGAAAAAGGAAGGAAGAGGGATGGAGGGAGGGAGGAAGGAAGGAAAAAAGAAAGAAAAAAAGAAAAAAGAAAGAAAGAAAGAGGGAGGGAGGAAGGAAGGGAAAAAGAAGAGGAGGCGAAGATGAAAAAGGCGTATGAGGGGGAGGAGAAGCATGGGAGAAAGGGAGGGAGGAAAGGGAGAGAAGGAGGACGATGTGGAGTAGGAAGGGAAAGCAGATGGAAACAGAGGAAGAAAAGGAAAAGGAGAATGAAGGGAAGAGGGGAGGGCTGAGGAGGAAAAAGAAGACACAAACATATTCAACACCAAAACCTTCACAACCCTTCTGGGCTCTGATAACAGTGGAACTGCCTGCTACTACTTGAGTTTCAAAGAACAAAACGAGGTCCCTTTCCATAAAAATTCCATTACCGATAGTGCTCGACTTACAACAGTGGGAATCAAGGACAATCCTGCAGGTGCTTGGAAGGAGGGGTCTGGATCAGTGACGTGCGGTGAGGTTTATGGCTGGTGAGGCACACACACAAATATTTTTAGACTTGTGGACTTCAGCTCCCAGAATTCCACAGCCAGGCATGCTCAGTTCCGATTTAAAGCGAGAGCATTTGTTTTTCNAGGTCACATGGCTGGCAAGCCACTCCCACAAAGGAGGCCACACCCACAGAGTAGGTTCGAAAAATGTTTGAAACCCACCACACGTTGTACAATACAAGCGGTTGTCGACTTACAGCCGTTCACTGTAACTTCGACTATTCAAAGTTAGAACGGCCCAGACAAAAGTTACTTAGGATAAGTTTTTCACACTTATTACGCTGCAGCATCTCCATGGTGAGCTAAGAGGGAGAGATTGGCCCAAAGCCATCCAGTTGGCTTCCGTGCCTAAGGTAGGAATAGAACTCATGGTCTCCTGTTCATTGGCCCAAAGTCACCTAGCTGGCTTTCGTGCCTAAGGCGGGAATAGAACTCACAGAGTCCTGGTGATTGGCCCAAAGTCACGCAGCTGTCATCCATGCCTAATATGGTACTAGAACTCACTATCTCCTGGTGGTTGGTCCAAAGTCACCCAGCCACCATTCCTGATTAAGGCAGGACTAGACCTCACTATCTCCTGGTGGTTGGTCCAAAGTCACCCAGCCGCCATTCCTGATTAAGGCAGGACTAGAACTCACTATCTCCTGGTGGTTGGTCCAAAGTCACCCAGCCACCATTCCTGACTAAGGCAGGACTAGAACTCACAGTCTCCTGCTTTCCAGCCTGCTGCTTTAGCCGCTAGAAGTAACTTTGCAGCCAACGAGAAGATACTTACCTCTGAGTGTGTCTTGATGATGTGGTATTTGACCCCACTTTCTGAGCTAAACTCCTTCTGACACAGAAGACAATGATATTTGCCCACCGAATGGCCTCCCTGTAAACGAAAGACCGGCCGTGTTTAATTTGGCAGAACCAACCTGAAACTAAGGAGAAATTCCTTGACAGTCAATTAACCAGGGGAACAACTTGCCTCCAGAAGCTGTGAACACTCCAACACTGGAGGTTTTTAAGAAGAGATCGGACAATGATGCAGGGCAGTGAGGACTAATCTTTTCCTCTTTGCGTGCCAAAATCGTGCGTACATGCACCACAGCGCATGTGCATGTGCCCGCACCCATAATGCAATGTGCCTCGCCCCCCTGGGTGTGTGCACAGCCCCCTCCCCGTGCTCCCCCCAGCCCCCCACACATGCACACAACCTCCCCGCGCATGTGTGTGACCCCCTTCGCGCCCCGTTTTGGGCCTAGCGGGCCTCGGGAGGTATTTCTCCTACAGTCTGCGGAGGATTTGGCAGGCCAGCCTTTGCATACCAGAAAAGAAATTAGCAATTCGAAGAGAGAGATTGACTATGGAGCACCTTTACCTTATTACAGTTGGCCAGGTGGGCTTTTAAGCCGGACACACTGCAGTAAATGGCTGCACAGCACTGGGAGAGAAAAGAGAGAGAGGCTGAGTGGGGAACCGGGGAATCCTCTTCGCCCCTCCACCCCCCAAGCGTCCCTCCTACAAGCTGCAGCCAAAAGTACCAATAAAAGGGGAATATTTGTAGCTCAGGGTTGACCTGAAAGGTTCCTGGGGCTCTCTCTGATCTTGATGGTTTTCCTGCAGATGTTTCATTACCCAAGGAGCTAACAGCATCAGTGCCAGAAGGGAGTGAGGTTTGCGGAGAGGAGGAGGAGGGGGAGGAAGAAGAGGAGGAGGAGGAGCCAGTGGGGTCTCATTACCAAACTATGTAACATCATCAGTGCTAGAAGAGAGTGGGGTGACGGAGGGGAGGACTGTGGCTCCTTGGCGCACTCTGAGCTTGGTGTTTTTCCTGCAGATATTTTATTACCCAAGTAGGTAACATCATCAGTGCTAGAAGGAGTGAGATTTGCAGAAAGGAGGAGGAGGAGGAGGAGGAGGAGGAGGATGATTGGGGAGTGGTCCTTGATGCCCTCTGAGCTTGGTTGTTTTCTTGCNGAGTGGGGAGGGAATGGGGATTTTACAGGATCCTTCCCCAGGAGTGAGGAGGGAATGGGGATTTTGCAGTATCCTTCCCCTGGAGTGAGGAGGGAATGGGGATTTTGCAGTCTCCTTCCCCTGGAGTGAGGAGGGAATGGGGATTTTGCAGTATCCTTCCCCAGGAGTGAGGAAGGAATGGGGATTTTGCAGTATCCTTCCCCAGGAGTGGGGAAGGAATGGGGATTTTGCAGTATCCTTCCCCAGAAATGGGGAGTTTGCAGTATCCTTCCCCAGGAGTGAGGAGGGGATGGAGATTTTGCAGTATTCTTCCCCTGCCACACCCACCATGCCACTCCCACAGAACCGGTAGTAAAAAAATTTGAATTCCACCACTGATCTGCAGGGATCATATCGCAGGACGAGCCTGCCGCTCGGGACAGCCATCTTGCTTGCCCTTAAGAGAATCTGGCCAGGGTGGTCTTCCAGAGGGGCTTTTTGGCCAGCTGTTTTTGGCTTACAACCGACATGAACCCCACAAGCAGAAGATACTCGCACCAAGACTTCTTTGCACCAGAGAAGTTTCAGCACCGTTTGCTCGGCGCGCACACAGTGTTGGCTGGAAAATGCGCTTATGGCTCTGACCCACAGTCTATATGGCTAAATTTCATTGAAGATCATTTGAAGGAGGCCTGTATACAAAGCCAGCAATTCACGTGTACAAATATTCAAACCAACACAGGGGGTCCTCAACTCACAACAGTTCATTTAGTGACCGTTCAAAGTTCCAACAGGACTGAAAAAAGGGACTTAGGACGTCTTCTCACAGTTACGACTGTGGTCCTGTGGTCAAAATTCAGGCGCTTGGCAAGTGGTTCGTATTTATGACGGCTGCAGTACATCCTGGAGTCATGTGATCCGTTTTTGTGCCCTCCTAGTCAGCAAAGTCAATGGGGGGAATCCATATTCACTTAACAACGGTGTCACTAGCTTAGCTCAAAAGGTCAGGTGCTTGATGACTGACTCACAGTTAAGACGGTTGCAGTGTCCCGGGTCACCTTTTGTGACCTTCTGGCGAAAGCCAGCTTCCCTTAACAACAGCTTAACCGCTGCAGGGATTCGCTTCACAAAAGTGGCAAGCAAAGTCGTAAAATGGGGCGAAACTCACTTAACACATTTCTCACAGCGACATGAATTTTGGCCTCAGTTGGGGCTGTAGGTTGAGGGCCGTAAGTTGAGGGCCACCTGTATTTGTAGCTCAGGGCTGAACTGTGGGGCCCTCTTGAGCTGGGTGGTTTTCTCGCCGACGTTTCATGACCCAACTAGGTAACATCATCAGTGCTAGAAGCGAATGGGATGTGGTCTTATTTTTATATATGAGTGGCACGTTGGTGGGAGTATTCTTGATGCAAACCTTGATTAGGCTGTTGCTTACTTATCCACTCAGACAGACAACCTAACAACAAACAACAGCCGAATCAAGAAAGACCAAGAACACAACACAAATCAAGCCATTTGTGTATAAACCCCATCCCTTCCAGCACTGATGCTGTTCCCTAGTTGGATCATGAGATGTGTGCAAGAAAATAACCAAGCTCAGAGAGCACTAAGGGCTCCACAAACTATGAAACCAACCCTGAGGTGACATGGGATGGACGGCAAAGATCAAAAGGCTGGGAGATGCAAGATTCATTCTCGGCCAGTAAAACACCTATTTTTTCTTCCTTTGCTTCTCCCAGCTCAGCATCCTTAAAATGTATTTTATCTATTTATTCAATTTATAAAGCTGCCCGTCTCGCAGACGTATTTGGGTAGCAACTTCCAGAATTCCTAGCCAGCGTGCATTTGCCATCCCAGCTAAACTTAACCAGTTTATTGAATGATTTTCTTATTAAAGAGGTATACTGCCAGATTCCAAATTATTTGTGGACGCCACAAACTTTTCCATTCAATGACCAGATTGGGATGTTTATATTCCTTCAATAACTTTTGGCAGAAGGAGTCAAGGCATGTCACAACCTCTCGCTAAGAGCTACCCAGAAGTTAACCCTGGTTATGGTAGGTACCGTATTTTTCGGAGTATAAGATGCACCTTTTCCACCCCAAAAAGAGGATGGAAACCTGGGTGCGTCTTATACACTGAATACAGCATTTTTGGCCTCCCAAAAGCCTTGCCCACTTCACCTAAATGGCCATGCATAGCCTTTAATTGGCTTCCCGAGTGCTCCTGGGGGCCGGAGATGGCAGAAATGAGCGGAAAAACAGGCCATTTTTGGCTCATTTTTTGCGCTCTCCCCCCCAACAGCACTTTGCAGGCTTCTCAAAACGCTCTGCATACACTGTTTTTCACAAAAAAACAACAACAAGGCATGCAGAGGATTTGGGAGGCTTACAGAGTGCAAAAACGTTTGCAAAAAATTTACCTCTTCAAAATCTAGGATTCAAAATAGTGCTTCAGAGTTCAAGGGATGGGAGAGTAAATGTAGCATCCGTTCCAACCTTTTAAATCAGCCGCTTCATTTCCTGGGTTAGTTGCTGCCCTAAGCGAGGAAAAGACGCAGCCGCTTTCAAGGGTAGGAGACAAAATAACAGAATTAACAAGAGTTGGAAGGGACCTGGGAGGTCTTCTAGTCCAACCCCCTGCTCAAGCAGAAAGCCCAAACCATTTCAGACAAATGGTTGTCCAATCTCTTCTTAAAAATCTCCAGTGTTGGAGCACCCACAAGTTCTGGAAGGCAAGTTAATTATTCTGTCGGGAAATTTCTCCTTAGTTCTAGGTTGCTCCTCTCCTTGATTAGTTTCCATCCATTGCTTCTTGTCCTTCCTCTGCCTTCATGTGCTTTGGAGAATAAGTTGACCCCCTCTTCTTTGGGGCAACCCCTCAGGTATTGGAAGACTGCTATCATGTAGTCCTTCATTTAATTTAACTAGACATACTCAAATCCTGCAATCATTCTTCATGTTTTAGCCTTTCATCTCCTAATGACCGATGCTATATTTGCGTTCTAGCTCATCTTAAAACCCTTCTTGAAGACTGAATCCAAGCACTGCATAGCCCTGCCATCTAAAACAGTTGTGTAGAGCAAAAAATTATTCTAAAGCCCTTACTAGGGGGAGTGATGCTACCATATGGAGATTCACATGATAGAAAGGCCAAGTGCCTATAAGAACTAAGAATGGCGCAGTGGTTAGAAAGCAGTATTGCAGGCTGACTCTGCCCATTGCCAGGAGTTCGATCCTAACCGGCTCAAAGTTGACTCAGCCTTCCATCCTTCAAGGTTGGTCAAATGAGGACCCAGATTGTTGGAGGCAACAGGCTGACTCTGTAAACCGCTTAGAGAAGGCTGTAAAAGCGCTGTGAAGTGGTATATAAGTCTAAGTGCTATTGCTATCAGGCCACGGTGGCGCAGTGGTTAGATGCAGTAATGCAGGCTACTTCTGCTGACTGCCAGCTGACTGCAATTTGGCAGATTGAATCACACCAGGCTCATGGTTGACTCAGCCTTCCATCCTTCTGAGGTGGGTAAAATCAGGACCCCAGATTATTGGGGGGCAAGAGGCTGACTCTGTAAACCGCTTAGAGAGAGTTGTAAAAGCACTGTGAAGCGATTTGTAAGTCTAAGTGCTATTGCTATTGCTATAGGGACAGGAATGGCTTTGCAAAGATTTGTGAAGTAAGGGCTAAATATTCTGTTTTTTCCACCCATTTTTTTTTAAATTTCCTCATGTATTTCTTTTTATATGATCCAAAGTTCCCAGCATTGGCTGGTGTACATTTATTTATTTAGTTTTTAGATCCTGCCCCATACAGATGGTCTCTGGGCAGGATACTAGGGTTGAAAAAATTGGAAAAAGAAGGGCAGTTTTATCTAGAAAACTAGATGAAATGAAAAAAAAAAAAAAGAAATATTATTGAAAAATGGTTGATTTGCTGGAGTAAATTGTCCAGAAAGGAAGTGGTTTGTCGTGCTCCAATTGGAATACTTGGGTAAATTCTTGGTTAACAACCATGGTTCCACCACAAATCCGTGAAGCCCTTATCCGCAGAGACATAAGCACGAAGACTAATTCGCGCCGTTCGAAGCGCTAAG